AAACATAGATCTGGCTCTAAATAAGGTGTTGCTGTCATACACTTTGAAATTATTTTCAAGGATTTATTCATTTACAGAAAATCCAATTCATGTTATGAAATTAAGGAGCCTAAATTTCTTAAGAAGAATAAGAATTTCTGGACATATTAAAATCACAATCAAATATTTCTGTCTTCAAAACAGAAAAAAAGTGAGAACTTTTTTTAAATTTAAAAGCAGGCTATAGTTCCTCTCTGTGTTGCACACCGCTGACCACGCTCTCCAGGCAGGGTGTGCCGATGGCCGGCTTTCTCTCTCTTCTTGAGCATCTTTATGTTCATTCTTTCATGAATTCAGAGCATGGGCAAGCACACAGACAGTGGCCAGGCCTCATGGCCTCACGGACGCTGAGGAGGGCTCAGCTGCACACATTTCTTCTGTTCCTACCCATGAACATACATGGTGACAAGGCATTTTTGTATGTTTTCTGCCACTGGGACACAAGGCTGCAACTGGACAGTTTATAAAGAAAATTAATATATTACTTTCAATCTGAAAAGTCCAAGGTCCAGAGGACACACCTGGTGAAGCCCTACTTGCTGTGTCACAGTGTGTCAGAAGGGGCTGCTTGGCCCATCAGAGGAATTGGCCAAGCCCCTGTTTCCCATTCTCCATTAAAACCCTGCTAACTTCATCAAGGGCCCTCAGCATCTGGACCGCAATTAAGCCTAAGTATCTCCTGCTGGCTCCACCCCAGAAAGCCATCCATATGCGAATTTCTAAGTTTTGAAGTCCACTTTAAGCCCATAGTATCGGTTGCAATTGTCAAGGATATTTGCTTCTGTTCTTTTAGTTTTTAATAAAAAACTGTCAGACCCAGTCTTAGCCCAGGTCCGGTGAGTGTGTGGGAGAGCTTCCTGCTACCCTGCACCGGCGGGACCTACTACTGGTCCCAGCCCAGGCACAGCGTGTATCTGGCAAGGTGGTCCTCTGGCTTTCCCCAAAGTTAAGAGGGCCACAAGAGCTGAACTAACTCAAGACACCAAAGAAGTCATGGCAGTGTAACTAAAGACCTCTGAAAGAGGACTGACAGAATTGTTGCAGAGAGTGAGGAGAACAACAGGACAAGTGCTTTTGAAAGAATATCTTGAGGTGAAATGATAGCGATGTATCTTTTACTATAGTCATTTTTAAAAACATTAAACGTTCACTGTATTTTTCAATAACACCTCACTATCATCATAGTTGTTTGTTTTTATGAGGTGGACTAGCTCAAACAAATATTGGCTGAAATTATAAGACTCATAGAATGTATGACACCATTTTATTGTGGAAATAAGAGCAAATAACATATGGCAAATCATAGAATTTTTTTAATGTCAAAAAGGAACAAGTTGGTATTGGTCTTGGAACTATATGTGCTTCAATGGCACTTATTAATGATATGTATATGAAAAGTCAAAAAAATAAATAAAAAATAAAAAATGTACACATAAAATAGTATCTATATTCATAGAGTAAAATTCAGTGATTTTTGTCCAAAAGAACACCCCATGTAAACCATACCTGATTAGAAAAGAGACTATTTCCAGTAATCTTGAAAATATTAATTTAAATTTTTTGTATCCCAATATTTATGCTTTTAAATATACTTTATATGTTGGAATACTTTTAGGTTCACAGCAAAAATGATATCTTTCCTCTTGAAAAATAATCCAACAATATAGGACTTTTCCCACAGGCTTTTATTAGAGATTGAACTTGGGGTCTTCACACTGAGCTATTTATTTCCCCAGTCTTCTTTTTGAGGATCATATTTTTGCTAAGACACCAGGTTGTTCAGACAAGACTTAAATACCAGTCCTCCTGCCTCAGTCTCCCAGAGTGCTAGGATTGTCTCTTTCGCTTTCATATATATTTGGACAGGGATGTGTAAACAATTTGTCACAGAAATCAGACCTATCATACAAACTCATCTTACATCTTATAAAATGTTTGGTACTTCTAACATGATGCCTTCAGTCTTCCCACTTCCTGTTACGACCGATGTCATGAAGTCAGTGGTCACCAGGATATGCATGCCAGCTGCCAGATTCCATGCTTACCAGAAACATAAGGTTGCCCTACATAAGATCACATAACACAGACTCGGTCAGCAGAATATACTTGCACTGTGTATCACTATTTCTCTGATTACAGACCTTATAGACCCCTCCTTTTGCTAGCACTTCCACAAGACTGTCACAGGTGACTACAAGGAGCTCAGAGACATGGGCCGGAGAGGCGATCACACTGGAGAACTCCACATTGGCTTCTATCGGCTCTTCTGCAGCAATATTCCCTGGGATTGTCATTTCCTACACTCAGAGACTCTCAAACCCCCATAACTGTTCCACCTTCACTCCCATGCTGGTCACCTCCTCAATAGGATGATGTTCTGTTTAGTTCTTTCCTTCCAATCCTAAAGGCCAGTCATTGAGTTAACTATCTGTTACTGTTGGAAACCCAGGGATGAAGCTATGGAGAGGGCTGAGGCTTGTGGGCTGGAGGACTGAGTAGTCAGTGGACTCTTGGGGCTCCCTTCCCCAGTCCTCCACCTGTTAAACTTAGTATGTGGTCAAGAGTAGAAATATGGGGCTAGGGAGACAGCTCGGCCATCTAAGCGCCTGCCTGGAAAGTGCTAGGACCCGAGTTCAATCACTGGTACTGGCATGCTGTACCAGCCCTAGAACACTAGGCATACTGTGCTGGCCCTGTAACCGGGTGTGGTGGCACATGCCTATAATCCCAGTGTTGGGGAGGATGAGACAGGAGCCCATGAGGAGTCTGAACTGTGTCATCAGATCCTGTATCAAAAGCCAAACAAAAAATAGAGTAAATGAATGAAACTTCAACCCTTTGCCATTCTGCACATAGCCATGGTCACTTTGGATTTTTCTATCTTTTGAGGCATGTCAGAATCTGTACTTTCTTTATTGAAGGCTTTGTGGCAAAGTAGCATATTCTACCTTTGTTTATACTTTACTATCCAGAAAGTATCAAGTTTAAAACAATAGAAATATATTCTCTCACAGTTCTAGAGACTGAAATTCTAAAACAAAACTTCCATGAAGCCCATGCTGGCTCTGAAAGCATAAGGAGGACCCCCTCTGCCCTGCCTGGCAACAGACTGTGGTTGCCAACAGTCATTGGCCTTCCTTGGCTGAAGGCCACGTCACTCAGATCTCCCCCTCGGTGGTCTCAGCACTCTTGTGGTCTCAGTGTCCGTAGATTTTTCTCTTCCTATCTGGACACTAGTCAGTCATTGGATTAGGCTCAGGCTTAATGCATTTTAGCTTGAATACATTAAACTACAGAGACTACTTCCAAAAAAGGTTATGTTCATAGCTACCAAGAATCAGGACATGGGCACATCTTTTGGGGGTAGCTACTTTCATTCCATAATACTTAATAACCTGTTACCTCTGAATCCAACTAAGCAGTGTTTATTTTATGACAATTAATAAGTCCAATAGCCTAACAATGTCTTTAAACTATTTGTAAGGAAATTACACATTTTCACCAGCCCATTAAGAGTGTGAGTTCATTTTGTTGTATTCTGTGTGAAGATTCAAGTGTTTCTATTCTTTCAACTTTCCTGTCTCCTGACAAGGACTAGCATTGCCTGATGAAAGATAGAAAATCTGTCATAGAGAAGTTTATATGCTGCTGTGAAGCGGAGCTGCTAATTATGAATAAAAGGGCAAAGATACTTTTACTTCATGCAATTTATACGAGTGTGTACTCCGGACAGTACAAACAGCCTGAACTCAGAAGCAGGGGCTTACTGAGACAAGAGCATGCTAGGCCCAAATACGGCTCAGTACATACCCATTGTCAATAATAAATCGGTTCATACAAGTCTCTTAGGATTCTTTGCTAATTAGTTCCTCCAAATGGTGGTTTAATAAAGCTAGACTTACATGGCCCAGCTTTCAGTGCCAAATGAAGGCAACTGTGGCTGTTTTGTGTTTGGACACCACACCCTACTAAATTAAAATGTGCCATTTTTCTAAAGTAGAATATTTCATATCTAGTTGACATTGAACAAGAAGGGAGAAATCCTTTAGTGATTTTAAGTCATCATAATTTTACCAAATTTGTGTTATTCTGGTAAGAAGTATCATATTTATTTAAAAGCATCAGTTTTTAGCCAGGTGTAGTGGTATACATTATAATTCTAAAACTCTGGAAGCTGAGGCTGGAGAACTATCAGCCTGGCTACATGGTGAATCCCTGTCTCAAAAATAAAACAAATAAAAAATAAAAATAAATAAAAACATCACTATTTATTATAATATAGTATCTTAATTTAAATTTGTGTTCAATGTTGATAAAAATATTGGTTTGGCTTTATACATACTGTGAAATAAATATGTCTCTTATAGTTATACACTCAATGTAATGTTGAGCTTATAAATACAATATAAAGTTGAAGTTTTATCATCATAATCATCGTCTTTTATTTATATCCTGCTCCTACTGAGATGAATCTCTGGTTACATTTACATATTGAATTACAAAGTTAAAACTAATGATGGGATCAATTATGCCCCATACTGAGCTGTGCACTTTGCAATGACTTTGAGAGAACAGGAGGGTCAAAAAAAAAAAAAAAAAGCATCCACAGTGTACAGAGATTTCAAGATGATGCTAACAAATAAGCAAAGGATAGAAGTGAATGATAATTTGTATATGCCAAAGAAGTTAGGCTTCTTTGTTGTGAAATTTATAGCAGGTTTTTAGTACAAAATTTTCTGAGAATTAGAAGATGCATAACATGAGTCATGAAAGTTGCTTAATTATTTAAGACAAATATACGAGAGCAAGTGTAATGTGAATCCCTTTTATTTATGTTTATTTGCTGTCGTAATTTTTAATGTACTTTTAATGTATCTGCTGTACCGCTGCGGAAATCGAATCTGCCCCGTGTTTGCTCTCATCATTAGAATTTGATACCATCCATGTCTCTTCTTTCCTAGCTGCACAATAAGTGTGCTTCTCATCTAAAACCCGAATGTGACTGTGGACCCCTGAAGGACCATATTTTACCACCCACAACGATCTGTCCAGTGGTACTGGTGAGTTTTCCGTGTCATTCTGGCACAACTAGGGGATGCTATGACTAACTGGGAACCTGCACCACTGAACTCTTCTTGGGCTCCTTCCCGTTAATCAAGACAGAGCTAAAGTCATCTAAGATACCTCAGTTCTTGAGAGCAAAACACCCCTGATGTTGGATTTCCTTTACCCTCGCTTCACGGCACACATGTTAGTAAGGTATGCTGACTCAAGTTTTATCACTCAGTCATGCAGTACTTACCAGAAATTGTATAGGCAGAAGCCTTCTACAGTTTACATATTGTATAGATCTAGCTTCCCAGAATAATGAAGTTATTCTTATGGGTAATTTTGCTGGGGATGCACATTATATATCTGCTATGTGGAGGTCTCTTGTTTAGGTCAGAGGCTACCAAAACTGATGACACAAACCTTGAAAAACGTTATGCACTGACATTAGCTATTTTTTTAAATTAAAAATTATTGAACAATAAATTTAACTACCTGCAAAATAATGACTTAATTCAATAAATATAGAAATGAAATATTCATGAGGAAAGTAACTCAGAAAAGCACAACCTTTGATAGGAGGGGAAGTGTACCCAAAGAAAATATCCATTTAAAAAAATCCAAATGGTTTCTAAAGTGAAATTTATTGTATGAAGCAATTTTACATGTATCATGTGCTCCTTATTTTTTAAACAATTTGGAAATTTAATGACTAAAACTTCCACTTGTTTTATTAAAAATGTAAGAAATAAGAAATGTTAGACAAATACTTTTGTAAAGGTCAATCCAGAAATTAATCAAATAACTCAATTTGTACCCACTTATGATTCATTTGTAATTGTCTGTAAACTACTGATTGTGTTTATAATGCCTTTATTTAAAAAGATATTATTAAGAACTCTTCATTTTCTGAAACCACATAAATGGAAAGAAAATGACTCCATATTTCTGAGGATAGTAAAACTAATTCTAAATTCTCTTTCTTCATCGAAGACTTGTTAAGCAGTCTTTAGTAAACACAATTAATTAAATGTAGTATGAGCGGCACGAAATTTCTTTACATTTTCAGTTCACTTACTACCATTTTTATTCATTTAAGTTGTTGCTTTAATGAAAAAAGACTTCCAGAAGTTTTACAGCATTTCACTCTTCTCTTAAGTTACAGTAGTTTTACTTGTTTATATGCATCTTTGATCTCATATTTGAACTTTTGAATATTTTGTTGTGTCATCCCAACTGCTGACATAAGCGCCCAGTCATTTGGGAATCCAGCCGGTTGCCAATCTGACTGTGTGTTCAAGGATGAGATGGATTCTTTTTATCCTCTTGCTTCTTACTTTTATGGGAATCTAAGGGAAATAGCTGGTGTTTTAATAGTCTTCTAATAATCTTTCAAAAGCTTACAATGCTATTTCTAGACACTTGTGAACGTGAAGAATTATTTTTAATCATTAATTCTTTCTTTGGTGTTAACCAAGATTTGTATTTCAACATCGCCAATTTGCTAGACAGTGTGTTCTCCACTCTGAAGTACTTGACTCCTAAGGGTGGTTTCATCCTCCGCAAAGTCTGACTCTCACTTCCTCCCACGATAGCACATTCTGAAAGTCCTTTTTTGTTTCTCTGCATATTTTCTCCCTGTAACTCTTCTTGGTTTAATGACAACCTGCTTATGTTTTTGCTTCCCTGGGTTCTACCTTCCTGTGTGACAGGTTTACACACAACGTTCTTCCCAGTGGGAACCAGTTTGTTTTGTTGATCTTATTACTATGCTAATTAATATTCAGATCATGTTTCTTTTAATCTGAAAAGTACAAAGCTGCTATATAGATGTCCCTGCTTGTTTCAAGTGCAATATGACTAATATAGTATTATTAAGTAATGTAGTAATCATACCCCTCCTTCATAGACCACATAGCTTTTCTACAAACTGTGGAAGGGATATTAATTGATTAATCATTTCAATCAATTTTGAGTGCCTGTTATTTGCCACACAATAGTATGGGTTGTAAGAAAACAGGAGGCAACAACACCGAATCTTTGCCTTTGTGGTACTTTTTCCCTACAGAGGAGAAATAGACAATAAATAACCAAATGGATACTGTATTTAGTACCTTCTTATTTCAGAAAGCATAGAAACAAAGAATACAGTGAAGGCTGATGAGAGTTAGAGATGTAGGAAGGTGAGATGCTGGTCAAAGCGTACAAAGTTACACTTGCATAGAATGAATAAATCCAGAGCTAAAATATAGGAATATAGAGTAATTACCATAGTTTATAATGCTGGAAGTTTGTCAAGAGACTAGATATCAGGTGCAATGATCTCTCTCTCTCTCACACACAGAGACAAACATACACAGAGGTAGGTATTCACACACGCACGTGCACACACACACACAAAAGTTAACTTTATAAGGAGGTATGTTAATTTGTAGTAATTATTTCACTTTGTATATGTATATCGTCAAATGATAAGATCATAAGTTTAGTTTTAGATCTAATTGGGGCTTATTGGCATTCATGAATCAAGGATGTCTTTATACTGATGAAAACCAAAGAGCTTCAAATGAGCAATAGCACAATTGTGGGTTTTGTAAGATACAAAAAAGAATATAATACAAAAATAAAATATGACTGATTATTAATAATACCAAGTTACTATGAAGGTAACTATTATAAGTGGAATATCAAAAGGATCATCTTTATTTTACAGACACAGGTAGACTGGAATCTGTTCTTTTCAACTGCTCTGGTATCTACCTGTCTGGTTAGGTGACATTGAGCATGAGTACATTTTGATTGGGGGAAATCTGTGAGCCCTAGTATAAGAGCTCAGTTGAGAGTAATTACCTTTTATATTTTAAATAATATTTAAGTGATATATATATATATATATATATATATATATATATAACTGAATGTATTTTCAGCTAGACCAAATAAAAAGAAGAAATGCTGTGACTACAATTATAAAAGCAGCTCTAGACAGAGGTCACTAAGGAGAATGCGTGAATAGCTGAGGGGCTGAAGAAGTCACCAAGTGCCTCTCTAGTGACAGAGATTCACAACCAGACTAGAGAGCCAGGACTTGATTCTGAGACAGAAGGGGCATGACCATCTTGAAGGTTATTCAGATTAGTGGTTAGACATAAGTATGCAAGGGGAAAATCCAGAAAAGACAGTCAAAATTGTCCCAAGATTTTCACATAATGTGAAGTAATGTAGGCTATTATAAGACATTTATTTTTACTCTGAATTCAGTAGGAAGCCTTTAAAGGATTTCAATGAGAAGGGAAATAATTGACTTGTATTCTGAAAACACCCATCTGTTTTGTGAGGAAGCAACAATAAGAAGAAGATAAAACACTTTCTCAGTGAAATGGGAGTTGGACCATTGACTGAAAGTGAAGCTCCTGTAAAACTTATGAGAAGGGCTGGGGAGATAGCTCAACTGAATAAGTGCTTCCTTGGCAAGTGCAAGGGCCTGAGTTCAATACCTGGCTCTGAAAAAAAAAAAAAAAAAAAACTTGTAAGAAGCTTGAGAATTGGGAGGCAGTTATGCAGCATTCATATGAAAAGGATCTAACTGAGTTGTCAAGAGAGGAAGTATGACTGCTGAGGAATAATGCTCAGCCAGGTGTAGTTAATGATAATGTATTTGGAAACACAACAAACAAACAAACAATAAGCCTGGCTAAGTTTTTTTGCTCTAGTTATTCAGTTTTATTTCTCCAGTTACACTCCAAGTGTAGGAGTAGAGTGGGAATAAGTACAGTAGAATGATATTGTGTTTTCCTGCCAGATATGATAACAGAAGCCAGGAAGGAAAGAACACATGCACAGTAAGGACTTTAAGAACTGGGAGGGGAATTTGATCAAGGAGATTAGGAATGCGAGGACACAGAGAGTGTGATATCGTAAGAGCTATTAGGAGCAATACATTGCGGATTGCAATACTAAGATTATTGTAGCCAAGGTTAATGACATCACATCCTAACAGTAAATGAAATACAAATAAGTATATAGAAGGGATTATTGCAGTAATTGATGATATGTATTGACTCATTTAATTCTATAGTAAATTATATAATTAATATAGGTTTGACATATGAGGAAATAAATGAAATAAGCTACCTCATGTCACATGTTAATAAATGGCAATCTAGAATTGCAACTTGTAGCAATTAGGCTTGATTGTGTAGGGACCCCCCAGAGGACTTGAGTAGCACTTCTGAGTGTGACCCAGAGATCGCTGAGGCCCAGTGTGAGGTCCAGGTGGGGTAGCTGTCCCCTCCTTTTTAGTGTTGTTCCCCAGCTCTGCTTCCCAGCCACTACATACTAAGCATCTTTGTCCTGCCAACCCTTTCCAAAAAGCTCCTTTTTTGGAGTCAGAAAACCATTGACTAAGTCACCTCAAACTGTGGGTTAAATCAAAACTTCCCTCCTTGAAATTGTGGGCATCAAATGCTGTGTCCCAGCATCAGTAAATTTGACTAACATAGAGACCAAATCTCATCACTTCAGAGCCATGCATGAGATTATATTCCCCACTCTTACATCCAATCCCAATTGTTTTACCTCAGTGACTGCCACCTTCATACTCCAAATTTTCCAAAGCAGAAACCTAAGAATTATTTGACACTCTTCATTTGCCTTACTACATTATCCATGAGGAATCCTATTCTTATGTTCTTGATCTTGTGTCTTTTTCTAGTGCTCACTTGCTCATATGCCGTGCCTACAAGTTTTCTCCCAAGGCTATCCCGTTAGCAGCCCTGCTGAACTTGTCTTTCCCTCCATCCCCTGTGAGGTTTTTTATCCACATTCTAAAATGAAAATATAAGGGCCAGCCTGATAGCTCAGCAGACTAAAGCATCTGCTTAGGTAGAACGCAGTGAAGGTGTTTGATCCCTGGCGTGTAGTGCTGGCCCCACCCATGGGGGTGTGCTGAGACAGCAATTGAGACTGGCGTGGTGAAAAAATCCTGTAATCCCAGTGCTTGGGAGGTTAA